CTGTTGCATTCTTTACTTTTTCGCTTTCAATTGTTAATTTTTATAGAATAGTTTGAAGAACAAAGGCACTATTTAAAATTGTTTCTTGCAATAAAATTCCTATACTACAAATTTATTATCGTTTTCACGGTTATCACAACTTTCAAACTTTCAAACTACAACAATTTATTTTGTAATTTTTTTTGTTACAACATGTCGGGTAAACGATTGGAACGGATAAGCTCACACTCTTTTTTAATTATCCATCCATGAGCGAAAATCACGCGAGTCAATTAATTCTTTCACTCGACAATATCCAAGCAATATTATGTGGCAACTTCTATTTTACATTCGAAAAGATAACTCAATCTATAAGATGAGTGTGCAACGTCGAAATGGACGCTAGCGTGAGGCAACGACCGTTTTCACTGCACTCAGTACGTGGCGTGAGCGTAATTGCACTTTTTAATTAAACATTAATCGCCAAGAGTTTCCTGACTTAGTGGTTTTATATAAAATGGTACTTCCTCACTATAACTATTTGGTTAAACAGCAAAGGAAAGTATCTCGAAGAATCCAACGTGAATGCAACTTGCATTTGACTTAAATATTTGAGGCGTAAAGGCGTTTAAATCAAAGCATGACTAATGGCCTCGGTTCCAGTTACACTTATATACTGAAAATGTGTTTAATGATGGAATGTAATAAAATATCACATCGAACCTTCAAGGTTAATATACTGAATCCATTCTTGTTCATAGACTTTTTTAAACACGAAGCTTCTCAAATGGTTCCGCTATCACGTTCAAGCTGTTGCTGCTGCTTAATGTCTGAATTATTCCCTTAGTTGAAAATATATACGACCATAAATCATAATCGAGAACCAGTGCAAAACCGGAGAGAGTTGGCAAAAAGATAAAGCACTCAAAGGCAGAGGATCAAAACCACGGGGCCAAAACAGGCCTCCATTGGAACAAAAAAATCGCCCACTCGACCACGTAACACATTCATGTCACTATAGCGGTTGTACAAGTTCAAGGCGATTGCAAACCAGTCCTTCCGTCTCTTTCACACTGTACCAAATGGAAAAAGGCACAATTATAAGAAGCGATGTTCTAGAGAATTTGCTCGCGTACACATAGCATTACTTATGAATGTGTGTTGATAATACAGGTTCGTAATAGGTATTGGTTCTGGTTTAACATCCGTCATAACAAGATGAAGCTAATAACACGTGACATGGGAAAAGCTTTACGTGCTCTTACGTACCTACTTACTGTTCGTGGTAGGTACAGGCTTACGTCTCTACTAAATCTGAAAGTAAATTGAATAAGTTGACTTTTGTGGTCGATGTTTTCATTACTATTGCGAACATATGTAAATAGTAGGTAAATATACCACAGTGTTTGCTGTTAAAAGAGAAATCCCGAAACTACAGAAACAGTCAAACTTCATATAAATAGTGAAAGGAAGTTTTTTATTTATCTTTCTGTCGAGATCTGACTTCTGTAAACGCAGATCTGCGTTTAGCTGATTTAATTTAGCTTAATATACACACTGTCATAATCGTTGTTTTTTTTTTCGTAAAAGTTCGTGAAAACAGAAGTGCCTCAAAGAAGGATAGCGGCATCCCGTGTATTTTGTGACCCAGTGTTTTTGACGACGTGCGTTAAGGAGACCTATCAATACTTGTGATTCATTATCAAAGCATCAAAAAAGCTAATTGAGTACAGCCAGTAGAAGAAGCTGGGCTTATAAAATTGACATAGGTTATGTTTATAACATTGTTCTATATTTCGCTTCAGATGTTTGTTCGTAGTAGCAGAAAACAACAAGTTTTCAGTTTGTACCCAAAAATAATAAAGAACTTCCCGAATATTTCCCGCATTCCACATTTAATATTAATTATTATTAATATTAAATGTGGCAGAATTTGGCAGATTTGGGAATATTCGGGAAGTTCTATAACTTACCATGTTCTGCAGCAATGAAACAGAATAAAAATTAAATTTGTTCTCAATATCAATGTGACATTGACATTGGCAAGAGGTCTCTTATCAAAACGTTCCTTTGCAACTTTCATTATCTCTCATTTAAATATTGTCTAAATATTTTTGTCACATTCTGTCATTGACTTACAAATAAATTCTGTTTTATTTTTTGCTTTATGTCATTGCGGTTTCATTGATTATTAGGTATTTTATAGCTTTAATATTTTTTTGTGTGTAATAGTACAAATAACCATTACTTCAGGTAGGTAAACATTCAATCATGTTTAAAATGAAACGTGCTTACAAAAACGTTATCTAATCTATGGTCGAACTGAATCAATTGCGTTGTTCTTGCATCTATTCTAAAATACAATGTTTAACCATTTTTTAAATCCCGACCTCTAAAAATATACAAAAATATATTGATAACCAGCCATAAACTAAAACGCAAAATTATACTAGCAAAGTCCACGAACGGCTCTTCGTCGTTATTGGGGCAGTTTTCGCCATCCTTCTTTTGCGAAATCGTAATCCCGTTTAAACAAAAGTATCGATAATCAGTTACTTTGTATTTACCACAGTAGTATGATTAGGATATGTAGAAAATGGCGAACATTTTCATTAATATCCTTTCAAAAATAATAATTTTCGGGATTTATAAATTCCCATAGCTGCAACATTGTAACAGGATAGTGTTAACACCGTAGCCCGGGACTGGACCGGTGCGGGTTCCCGTGAAATCGATTTCGCATGCTTGGTAACGATCCCGGCTTCCCGAAGAATGATGACTTCATGGATTATACTATGGCACCTAGGCGAGTTATTGTGAACTTCTCTTTGCATGATAAAAAATTATGAAAAAAATAATACTGATATGATTAAGTAAAGTAACTCTAGTGGCTTCGAGAAAATATTTCTAAACAATTGTATCTAAATGACCAAACGCGGAACTTACATGTTTTTTTAACCATGTCGTAAAAGCTTAGATTATGATATTACTTTTATCAACTGGAGTCTGTTATTTTAACATTAAGATCTAATTGATCGAAAAATATGTTATGATGGAAAATATGTTACGGAAAATACTCAAAAAGAATCCAACATATCTTTATTTCATTGGAAGGCAAATTACACTTGAAATCGTCACACCCTAATTAAACACTACTACTCATTCGTAAGGCAGATTTCCGTGAGAGGAATAAGTAAAAACCTCTAGGTGTTGGTCTTTGTGTTTACAATCTCTATTTAGACTTTTAGATAGAGTTCAGAGAGAGGGCAGAAACAATTTGAGATAAATGTAGCACTCCCAAGAAATTTTGTCACATTTTGTTACAAAAACTTCATAAATAGTACAGTTAAAAACCACTAATGAATAAGACGTAATTCGTGGCTGTATGGCTGTAATAAAACAGCCACCTGCCACATTAATTCCGTTAAGGATCGTACTCATGATAACAAACAACCTGATAGCAAAAACAATATTATAAATTAGCAAAAAATAAATTGCTCCCAATACAAATTGTACTCGGTCGATTTATGGTTTTCGTAAAGGAAATTGGGGACCAATTAGTGTTTTCGCGAAATACAATTATGTTTTTGCTAACGTTTGCAAATTTGGTCTACCACTAGTTACACGCTGTATAGAAGCAAGTTGAAATTAAAAACGTATTATTTGGCCAAGAGCACAAGTGAGACTCGAGATATCGCAATTGGGACGTTTTCTGTTGATAAACTCACTGAACACCGTACGTCGCCGTACTAAGCACTGATTGTTGTCGCAGTGACGACATTGACCTGCGTGCGCCCGCGCCGCCGCCGCTGCCGGCCAGTGGCCACAACGAGCCACTTCCGTTGCACTCTCACGAGTCACTATTCATTACATAGGTGCGGAGTGCCGAATAAATGGAATGTCAAATTGTATGTACATTGGAAGTTGCACCTCTCGTAGTGTTCACAGTTGTTTGTAACATCGAATAGTAAAGAACGGTTGTCTCTGTTCGAAATTAAAACTTTCTAAGCAAATCGCCGACTTATAGAATAATATTCTTGTTTTAGTGTGGCAGAATGGCTTGCGCGACAGCGACGTAAAAGCGGTAGATATTGCTATTCTCTATGCGGAAATAGCAGTACCTCGCGCTATATGTCGCTCTCGCGCAAGTCGCGCCTTGTCGTGCTAGCCTTACAGGTCACACTAACACCACGTTAAACTCAAAACGTAATGAAAATATTCTCTTTGCAGTAATATACTTAACGTGTGTACCAAAATTAATTTCTATGGAACATGTAGTAGGCAGATCTCGTATATAAAACAAAAAAAATAACTCAAATTTTATCTCCCGACAACAAAAGGCATCATAAACAAAAGGTAATAAGTATCGGAATTTAGCTTTTTCCGTACTTTCGAAAATGCATTACTTAAACAAGCAAAAAGCAGTAGAAAGGCTATTTTATCACAACTATAAATAAAATAAAAAGGGAACAACATAACAAAGAAGCAGTTAGCAGCGCCCGTTGATGTCTTTGCAAAGGCGGTCGCCGCTAGCGCGTGACGGTGAAAAATTAAATCTAAACACCTTCGTGTGATAATGTGCACTGGTCACTTTTATTTGTTGAAGCTTTTAATAAAATTCTAATGATAAAATAGTGAATTTTATTAAGATTTTAATAAAAGTCACTAGAGGAATGTACATTTAAGATTAATGCGTCGAAGACGTACAATAAGGTCTTTAAAATATTTTAAAACTTTAGAATCATCCCTCATTTCGCCCAATCGTTCGAATTATCATACCTATAGTTACGACATGTGGTAGAAAATAACATTAGCGTTTGAATGAGACGGAGAAAAATTAACGAACTGCCAAAATGAAGGTAGGTGACACCAAAATTCTTATTAGAAAGTTGGTCGAGGCCCAGGAACTTTGATCGGTGCCGCGAAAAGTTCGTTACCACTTTCTTTCGCATTCCGGTTAAATAACTGGCTGTTTGGTTTCGGTTTTTGGTGTTTTCGAATGCCGGACGGAGACGACTGACCTGATAAGTGCCTGGTGTCGGTCTGCGCGGCTGCCGCTGCTACCAGCGCGAGCAGCCAGAACGCCTGCCCGGCGCTCCGCATCTTCACACTTGCAACCACATCAACACGAAAATCACTCACAAAAAATCTGATTTCAAAAAACAAACACACACTGAACTGAAACTTTGTTTTTTTTTAATGCGAAATGAGAACGCGCTCGAAAGTTGATTGGAAAGTTTTGGTGACGTGTCGTCGCGACTCGTCCTATCACGGACAAACGAACAGGCTGCGCGCGCGAGAGCGACTGACGCCGGCCGGCGAGCGACAGGTGGGGTGGCGAGCGCTTGCAATTCAATCTACTTCAAGCCTCTCGATTATTTTAATTTCATTACAACAAAATATACTTCATAATTAACTATAAATATAACTATAAAGTTGTATTGTATTACCACCACGTATAACTTCTATTCTACACATCTTTTAAAGTATGATTACTATGAAAGTCTAGAAAAATGTCGTGACGTGTTATTATCACAGGTTCTATCATTCAGTTTCGCCAAGAGTGTCTGTTTATAAATACTATGGCACAGTAAAATTCATATTTCATAGAGAACTTTTCTTACTATACATTCAGTCAATGACATTTGTAAATCGTAAATTACCAAAGAAAAGTTAACACTATTAAACACACAAATTGCAACGGAAATAAAATACAACTTAACCTAACCAGTCTTACAGACTAGCTCCAGGCTAATGTAAACTCAAAAGTTATTTGCAAATGGAAAACTCCGATTTTCGTACTTATAAAAATATGAAATTTGATATTATTTATTTAATGAGCGTTGACTATAGATCCATCAGCTTAAAAAGGTAATAAATAATTTATAAAACTCGAAACACAATATACTGAAACTAAACTATTAATTATAAAAACTTTAAATACCTACCTGCCCGTTTATGCTAGCAAATATGACATCCATAAATACGATTTTCATTTTGTTCTTAGACAGTGCCACAACGTATACCAGTGACCAAAAAGCGTTTATATATGTTGACTATAATAGATTTTATTTTATAACTCAGGTACGCACCCTTCACTGTTAATTTATATTATTTACAATGAAAAGCATACGTAGATAATATATGTTTCAGTCAAGAATGGCCGAAAATTTTCATGTTATACATTTTTTATGCATATTTACAATGTCTGTGGGAATCAAAATATGTATAATAAAAATATTTTAAATCATATTTTGATTTCTCTAGAAATTGGGAACTTTTTCGTTCTGGCAACACGAATCACACAGGTGGTCGGTAACTGCAGGTAGCTAGACAAGCAAACACTATTGTTTATCTCGCTCTCTCCTTGTGCACGTTCGACGAGTAAGTGCGAGATAGAAAACTGTAGGCTTTTTACTCGTTTTCTAAATGCGCAAAAGTTGTGGACAAGTGGTGTTTTGGACAAAAACTCAAATTCGAAGTATTATTGTGAAGGTCAGGGATATGCAATATTGTAACACTGTGCTACCACTATCATCACATCAGTCACCCATTAGGTTGCACGAAGAAATCCCCCATAATAATAATAATAATTTATTTATTTGCTTTTATATGCGTTTATTTGCTTGCAACATGACATGCCAGAAGATGTTCCAAGATACTGCCAGTACAAACATGTTTTGCATATCGTCGGGGATAGTGCAATTACGTTACGCGTAACTAGCATTTGATTACGAGTATCCATTTCGATAATTTATTGGCCGAATCAAATCCGCGTAAATATCGTTAAAAATTCGCGAGCAAATTAGCGTGATTTTAAGGAATCTATTGTTATCAGTCTATAGACAACGGAAATTAATGGTTACTGTGCAAAAATGAAAGTCGTAGGTCGTAGCCATTGAAGTTACAAAGTAGTAACGTTAAATTCCTCTCCAGTAAATTTGATTTGGTGCAGATACGCGCTTTTTACCAATACTAGATACGCGGATATGCGTTATCCCCGACGATATAATATATTAAATAGCGTGCAAATGTCTAGCTACTGTTATTGTATAATGTAATGTCAATTAGACTACCACAAAAATAAAAATGTCACAAACCTATTTCAAGTAGCAAATTAATTTTTAACCGAATTAAAAAAAAGGAGGAGGTTCTCAATTGGGCTATATTTTTTATTAATTTTTTTGTATGTATTTGTAACTTGTGAACCGCTTTTGATGATTCGTTTTTCGTTGGAAAGAAGGTACCTCAGCATTAGTCCCATTTAAATTTGAAGAAGATATTCCACATCTAAGGATTGCAAATTAGAGGACGAATCCGATTTCGCGCACTAGCCGGTATCAAACCGATTTGAGATAAAACTTGGCAAATGGATGTAATTTCACGAATTTTTGAGGTCTTTTTTTTATAAAAAAGTTATTGCTATTATGTCAAGAACGATAATCATCAAGATAAAATCTTACATTTTATTTCCTGTCAAATATTTCGTTAAGGTCATAAAAATTATTTTTGTTTAATCATTTGTTATGGTTTCGTTTTAAATAAACTTAAGTGTAATAGTTTAATCACAAGTTGTATTTTATTGTACATATAATAATAATTATAACGCACACGCTCATTGCCCCGCACTAGGGAAATCACACATCGCGGTGCCATGGACACACACATAAGTAGACAACCACAAATTACACTCAAACTCGCGAGATAAATAAATGTAGGCCATACAAATATTTGTCCCAGTGCGGGAATCGAACCCGGGACTTCTGTGTGGCCGACCAGCATGGTAACCGTTCGGTCACGAAGGCAGTTCGTATATTTATTGTACATATATGTCAACCCACACTTTTAAACAACTTTTACTATATTTAGGAAGTTAAAGTTCCTGGTTACGATAAAGACTACTCCCATATATTCCACCGGGCGTCGTTGAAGGGTAACCAGAGATGGTCAGTAGGCAAGTAACTTTTATTTTATATTGTTATTGTTATGTCAACTGGAACTGCATGGGTATTTTAAAGCAATTTTGGTAATCAATAGCGTTATAACAATTGAACTAGGGAATTCCCTGTGAGTATCAAAATAACGAAATTATCTTCGGCACTACTCGGAAACCAGGAAAACAAATAACAGGAAATTTTCGTTGGGTAAACTAGCCATACAAGGAATTGAACCCCTGCGCATCTACCGCCCAGCGGAACCGCTACTCTGCAAGGATATCATTATATTGTGTCACTGCATCATGGCAATCACCAGAGAACCTGTTAAGCGGGCGATTATGGTATCTTGGGCACACAAAAAGCACAGTGTACCTTGTTTCTCCGTAACCAGACAGATTAGATAAATGATAAACTTCTTAAATGCCATTATGGCTTAAAAATACCAAACTCGTTTAAACCAATGATTTTCCTTCCTTGCTTTTTGCGCAACGATAATTACGATACAAAAGGTTTATCGTAAATTTATCCTGTTTGTAGAGTTTAAGACATTTGTAATTTTTAACAAGCTTTGTACATGAAAGTATCTATAGGTATTCATAAATTCATATTACAAAATTAAACACCCTTCAAATCCTAAGTAGCGCAGACAATCGCCGGGAGTGGCTGTACAATAACTCCAAGATATGGCCAGCTCCGTTACCGTGCTTTTGGAAATGTGTTTAAAGTAAAGTATTATGAAATATAAAGGCAGTGAAGCAACAACTCGCTAGGGACATTAGTAAATATTCCCCGAATAACAAAAACATTCGTCGAGTGACACGCTCATTTAAAACAAGGTAATTATTTAACAGCCAACCATAATCATTAGTTGCACCGACATAAGTGACTTCAAGAAAAACCCAGTAAATGGGAAGTAGGCACGAATGGAAAGATCGTTAATTGTTAATTAATTTTTATTGTTTAGGTAATGTCGTCGCGGGCGCAGCCTGGCACTGACGGGTACGAGGAAAAACCCTTGCGGCTAAAACTTGTTGCTACTTTTTTGTTTAATAGAACTCAGAAGTTTACTTTATTTTTAGCTGCTTTATCTCAAAATGTGTTTTTTAGTTCCCATTGTTAAGGGGGACTTGTCCGGTCTGTGAATCGGTATGATATAGCAATTTTACGAGTTGAAGGCCTTGTGCACAAAATTGCACACAAACTTACCATAGAAAATTCCTGCCCCGTAAATTTAATTAAAATCGATATCTTCGAATATTGTTTGCAGATGCATGATAAAAATCAAAGCAATATAGTCAACAAATTTTAATGGAATAATTAAATGTATCGTGTGCATTTTGTAGGCAATCGATTATATAATAAGGTTGTTGTAAAAAAGTGGTGGTTTTCACAAATCCTGAATCTACACGGAAATCATAAATGCTAGTGAGATTTAATAAAATCTACATTATAATATACATAGGTACAATATACAAAATAAGTTCCACCACGTTTTTATACGTAAAATACAATGTATAACCGACTTTTTATCACGTTCATGAATATACAGATGCGCACGAAGCTTAGTATTAATTACATTATTGATTATTTATTCTGGTAAAATCATAAAGTACCTACGACCTAGAAGTGTAACGTACCACTGGGGTTAATACTAAATTGAATTGTTATATAGTATGATTTTTGTTAATTACTTTATAATAATTCGGAGAATGTTTTCATCATATCAATCTTTTAAATGCTCACCAACTTAAAGTAAAAAGTAAAAGTTCAAACAAAAAAAAAAAACAAACAACTCATCGCAAAAAGAAACGTCGATCTCATTTGGATTTCCCTTCAGTGTTCTACATTGTTCTTGTGAAGTACATGCGATTGTGATTTGTTTGTTTTTCTAATCCGTAATGCCGCTTCTGCCGTGACCACCCTTGTGCGGGAACGCGGGAACGAAAGATTGGCTATTTTCTTTTGGGTTAGAAGAATTATTATTATAATTATAATACAGGCAAACAAACCAGTGCAATTAAAAAAAAAACCTGTCTTAACATATCTATCAAGAGTTTATTTGTAACTATTTAGTCTTCTACTATGTAATCTCACTAGATGTTTTTTTTTCATTACCAATTCTCTGCAAGTTCGTTCTTCAGAAACTTCAAGTTCGCAATTTTAAAAAGTGACGTGTAGCGCCTAACAAAAATATTGAATTTTTTTGATATTTTAAATTGAAAAATAGAGGATCCGCGCCGAAAAGTTCGATCGCGTCCAAAGTGTGTTACGTTTCGTTATACATGATTATACACTTGACGATTTATTGTCAATTGTAAATCTTACTTGATAGAAGATAAAGAAAGTGAAACACGTTAGGGGATTAATATGGAAAAAACAAAATCAATTCGCCATTATATTATGTATATTCAATTCTAGTAAAAATTTCAATAAATAGAAAGTGAAAAATCCTCTTAAATTTAAAGGATATAACACTGTTCCTGTGTTACCAAACACAGGAACAGTGGTTTGTAGAAAGTCGGGTCAGAGTCACGCATCGTCCGCATTGTTCATGTCAAAGAATCTAATGATATCGTCCGAATTTATGTGGGATTTGAATACCTTCCGAATTCTTTCGGCTATTCGCCCGATTCGGTGCGGATAATTTTAATATGATTTCATTCAACGAATTCTATAATTACTACTACATTAATTATGGTCGGTCCTTTACATATTACCACCAAAAGAAAAAATCACAAGACTTGGCTATATGCTTCTATCCGTTAATATAATACTGCCGCCGAAATTTGAAAGGACACAAGTAACATTTTTTTTAATTTATTTACAAAAGGTCGGTCTGACACTGTTTTTATTATATAAAACTAATACTTTTTCCTAGGCGGTGATGGTATGAAGTTACCGCAAGAGAAAAGTACATATTTTTTAAATTTATTTTCTTGTCTTATTTTATTTTCTAGGTTTTGAATTTTTGTCACAATTCAAAATATTGTAATATAGTAAAAAATTAAATAATAATAAATCAAAGCTCTGTTGCCATCCTTATCATAAAAAAAATGAAATGATTAGAAATTTTCATTAAATAAAAAATTTTGCTGTACAGTTCTATAGTATTTCTCCGGATGCTTTCTTTTTTAATCTTTCGTTCCACCTTTCTAATCCCGTTTCCAATTTAATTTTTATGTTTTACAGGTTTCCTCGTTTTAAAAACAAGTCAAAAACTTTGTAAGTGGCTGAAACGCTAAACGCGAAGCAAATAACCAAGAAAAAAATACAATATGTCAAAAGTGAGCAGATTCTTCTCCCTAGTCTGTGGTTAAATAAAATTGAAATATTTCTCTGTGGTAGCTGCTGCAATTTTGTTTGTTCGTAAATTTTATCTCATTAGCCATTAACTTATAATGCCGTTTAATGAATAAAATTCACGTTAAATGAAACTACAACATGTCCGCTAACGAGCAACCTGAACTCTTGTTCTTCGACACCTTTTCTCATGATACAAGTGAAGTATGTTATAAAACCTCAACACGTCATGATTTTGGTGAATTATTCCTTTATTTACCACTGTGTTGCTATTCCAGGAGCTAAATTTGGATCTAGTCCAGTTCCCAAAGTCGGTTTATGTGCGTGAAATCCGTATAATACCGTTGGGGGCTCGCGTAGAAGGTGATTTCCCGGGCGGTGTTCGTCTAGGAGCCACGAATCCGACTAAATTCCACATTGACTTCTTCGTGAACGACCTGAGCAAACCGGGTGCGTCGACTTTCGAGGCGCTGGGCAGCCTGGATTATTGTCAGAATGGCCAGATCCACATGGAGTGTGGAAGTGGGCTTGAACAATCGAGGATTCCCACTGATGGGCTTGTGCTCAGAGGTTAGATTATTATACAGTAATTTTTTTGTATGAACTTTATATTCATTCTCAACCTATCATGCACTATAGACCCATAAACAACCAACATGAGACTTCTCTCTTATTTATTTTTATATAGATTAACTAACATCATTCCTTTACCCATCATTCCTTTACCATTAATCTATGTGAAAATTAATGAACTGAAAATAATATATGGCATGTCAAAACTACTAACTAAAATCTTGTATTTTCAAATTTGAGCTTATTGTCCATTTTTATTATTTAGTGATAGTATTCATTTCAATGACTGAAGAAACAGTGATAGCCTAGTCAGCTTGCTTCTGTACAGTAGCTTGAGTCTTATAGTATAAAAGTAACAGGACTTACTCGCGTAGCATTTTAGTTGGAAGAGGTCCAACTAGTTTCAATCATATTAGTTGGTTTTCATCGGGGGTTGAGTGCAATGTTCACGACCGCATCATGTCTAGCACTGACACAGCTAGACGTGACGCGGCACACACAGCACAGCTTGAGTCTTTTCAAATGCAGTTCAGTTTACTAATTATCAGTTGCTTCAACATTTAAGGTAAATATTGCGATCAAACCTTATTGGTTTTGTTGGTGTAGGTGTAGTTATATTAAAGGACCCAAAATAATGCGTACTTCATCTAGAGTCTCCGTGCAAAATTTCAAATAAAAATGGGTTACTAAAATGTTGATATAAATTTAATGAAATTTTATGTTAGTAAAATTTTATACACAAAATCATAATCCACAGTATCCCATACTTTCTTGCAGCTGCTGCGATACAAATTAATTTTGATACTTCTACCGCCTTCAATACGTCATCATCAGAATAAGGCGACAGCCCTAGTGGCGTTTCTTCATTAAACAATACCTGTAACCAATAGTTGACACTAGTTACGCCCAAGTGTTTGACACCTTAATATACAACTGTCAATTATTGGGTCCCCATGGTAAAACAGTTGTTGACACCCATGTCAAACACTACTCAAACTACCCATAGAAACTTGTCACTAACAGAGTAGTCCAAACTTATGTTCTCTGTCCTTACCAAATGGTCAAAATTAAGTTTTAAAAAATATAAATATATACGAATGCTTGAAGTGTGTCAACTACTAGTAAACATTAAAATTTTGCACCAGTGTTTGACATGCCACTAAAATAAAATGTAAATAATATACATCAATAAACACACACAAAATTAATTGTTTTTACAGTTATCAATAGTTTTAATAATCATTTACCAGTAATTAATAATATTCCGCCTGATAAATTCACTTAAACTATTCAAAGTCTTAACGATTTCTATAACAAGAGCGACGCACGTTACACTCTGATCACCTGCTAACAAAGACTTTCGCCATATTAAAAAAATATTGAATGAATCGATGAAAGCTTTTAAATTCAATTCATAGATGTCGTTACTAGTACATTTAACACGGTTTTGGAGTAATATCAATATTTTGTTTTCTTATTTTTTGAGAAAAAATGCAAAAGTGTCATACATTGGGACAGTGTGACTCAATGGGACATTTACCTTAATGGTGGAAAATTTTTAGTGTACATACGTAGGGTAAAGAAGCATATTTTCAGGTTATAGATGTGTAACCACTCTAAAATGGTTACACATGGCGAGTTTTAGCAACGATGCAAAAGCGTTCTATGTATCGCTACACGCGATTTATAGGAGATCATATCGATGCAAACGCTCGACTGCATCATTACAAACACGTGATTGCATCGATGCAATCGCCTTTAAATCCCACATGTGTCGAGGCAGTCGCACGCTTACATCGCGTTTGCATAAAATCGCGCGCGTGTGTAAAGATTATTACCGACTTCATCGCTGCTAAAAGTCGCCGTGTGTAACGGTTCTATTTCTACTTGCATTTGCATTTTGACTTATGAAGCAGATTTTGGCATTTTAGAGTGCAATTCTAGAATTTTTCGATCTTTGGTATTGTATTATTTGTAAGAACAAAGTGTCTCTATTAAATTATTAATTCTGTATTTATAGGTTGGTATACAACTATAACCCTGGCTGTCTACGGTAATTTGACTCAAGTCATTCCTGAAACTACCATTGGAACCAACCCTCCTCCTGTCGCCCAGAGACCAGCTATTACTAGGGAAGTACCACCTCCACAAAACAATGTTTCACAAGGCGACTGGAATCAAGAGACCTCCAATCCGATACCTTCATACACAGGCAATGTTGCTGCAACTAATCCTGATGCTTATGGTTCCACTTATCCAGAAAACTATGATAATCAACTGTATAGGACTGATTACTACAACAATGAACCTCCTAAAGACCCAAGAACATACCATCATATTGAGGACAATGAATGGGAGAAACGCGATCTTAGCTGTGAAAGAGAAGGAGGGTTGCGACATAGTCCTCGATCTATTGAGTTGGAAAGGGATAGAGATAGAAGAGATGGCAGAAGTCGCCGACGTTCTCTTGAGAGAGGACGCAGCCGCGAATCATCTAGACATCGCGATAGGAGTCGGGAATTGGAAAGGATGGAAAGATTACATTCCAGATCCAGAAGCCGTGATAGAGATTACATCGTGAAAGGAGAATATCGTCCCATTAGTCGATCTAGATCTCGTAGCCTTGACAGGCGACTGTCCAGTGACCGAGATTGGGACCGTGGCTCCTATAAAAAGGATGATTATCGCCGTCACCGCGAAGTTTCATACGATCGTTCACGTGGAGGATCCTATGAACGAAGGTCTCCATATGACAAACGCGCTCCATCGTATGAACGTAAAATGTCTTACGAAAAACGCGGGCCGTCCTTCGAACGCCGGGACCCCTCGTACGAACGTCGTGCGCCTTCTTTTGATAAACAAACTCCATATGACAGAAAGAGACACTCACCATACAATCGTATTAGAACTTCGAGCTACGGCAGCAGATCTCCAAGTCGTGATGATCCTAGAAAAAGACCTAGGACTCCACCCGGCGAAAGCAGTCGGAGACCGTTATCACCTAGGGAAGGAGAGACGTCAAGTCCAATTCATTCTGTGCGTTCTGAAGAGGGACCTGAATTTGACAGGAGTGGAAAACAAATTCCTAGAGTGGATTTCTATCATCAGAGTTATAGGCACAAAAGTTCCACTATTAGAAGTCCTTCTCAAGAAGTTGAGAATCCTCCTTTTGTTGAACCTCAGCATTCCAGTTTAGTCACAGTTCAAATTGTCGACAACGTGACTACTCCAAAAGAAATTGAATCACCTAACCATAACCTTGAAGAAGACAGATCAATGGATGCAGAGCAATTTGAACCAATACTTTCTGATGAGGACATATGTGACGATCTCGAAACTTCTTACATGGAAGTCGATTATGACTTAAATGAATATTGTGGCGTAGAAGACATTATCAAGTATTTCAACCCATATAAATCTGAATGGATTAAATACGAACACATGAACAAAGTACAGTTATTAGCAGAAGGAAAAACTGAAGGTGTTAAACATGTTTTAAATGCAACTTTTGATGAACTTTGCGAGGCAAGTCCAGATTTGTCCAAAATTTCTGAAATGGCAAAAGCATCAAACAAAAGAGACCAGAAAATCTCAGTTGGGACGTTTACTGAATTAGATAACGCTGCTAAGGAAGACTGGGTACATCAATGTGAACAACTCTGGATATCCTTGACAAATGTGTGCAATACTACAGATATTATTCTAAGGGTTTTTCAAAATCACGAGGACACCGATAACGACTTCTACGAAATTTATGAGTTACTTGTGACATATTGTAAAATTGGGCTTAATTTTGAAAACGCGCTGGCGCAGCAACAACCTACTTACAAAATAAGGCACATGAAATGCGGTATTCGTCTTGCGGAAGCGTTAATGTCTCATAAGCACAATGGGCAAGTTATGAAAATTTTACTCAATGCAGGTATAGACATGTCAATGTTGCTCCTAGAAATGTATTCGAAGGAATACATGGCTTTGAGTATTCGTTTAATGATATTGAAGGCGCTCAATGCTTGCCTATCGTCTAAAGAATCTATGGACCACTTTATGAAAGAAACAATATTTCCAAAATTCAATAAAAAAGAAAGTGACAACAATAGAAAACCCATGAATGGCTATCAAGCGTTAATTTCTATAATGCAGACAAATCCATTGGCGAGGATCAAGTTTTCAATCAGTGCTTTGATTAAGAAATTGAACATTTACGAACTGTTAGGAAAACTTTATGATTTGTTGTTGAAATTCAACAAGAAAGCAGCTGAAAGCACTCAGACCGACGACGCTGAGCTGACTGAAGGCGATATAGATTTTATTGTAGATGCTTTTGCTGAAATTTTGTACATGTATCGATCACAATGTTTCCACCTGTCACAACCAAAGCGTTTCCTACCCGTGTCTGCACAATTTGAAATAAACAAAGAATGCTCAAATAAAATTTTGCTAGAATTTTTCAATATCCACCACACATTACAAGTGTGCCTTTACTTGTTGACTTGTCCAACAACTTGCAATAATTTGGTTGTAATCAGTCCCATCCATGATTTAATATATGAGCTAGTTAATTCTCATAACGGTCTCAATTTTCTCTACCAGAACATGGAGATGAGTGAGATTCTCTTCAAAACTTTAGTATCACCAGATGGCCAACAAAATGAAGAATTTCTTTATCCTCACGATTTAAGTAGCTACACAGATCTTCAAATACTTGGTCTCGAATTGGCACACAAGTTGAAAGCGATGTATTATTTGCAATCTATCAGCGACCTGCAAGCTGGGAAAGGTGATGAAAACGAGCTTATAGATAGATTGCAATCATTGTACTGCTTGAGTTTTGGAAGCATCGGAAAAACAACTGTCCCTGATGTAATTGTCATGGGTGATAACGCCGATTGTCTTATGGAGGTATTTGAGAACAGTTTAAAAACTAAAAGTAAAGGAGAATCTCCAATAAAACAAAAATCCCCTGCTAAAGGGTATGCGATCGAGTTAATAGTCTCAGCAGTACGATTTGCTGCTAATGTTCCATTTCTAAAAAAATATGGTCCAAGACTTATAACTGTGTCTAAAGAACACGATCGTTTTGAACCTAGTGTATCCAGTGTCTTACAAGAGGTAATTCCATATTTGAAACCTCTGGAAAAAACGAGTCTAATATCTGGAGAGGATATGGCTGAATGCGTAGAAATTTTAAAATTAAGTCTGGAACATGCCCCAGATTTACCTGGAGAACTCATGACCTGCCTCAGAATCCTACGTCATTACTGCATCTCAGATTACGAGACAAACATCGCAATTGGTTGTGAGTCAGCTACTGAAGAATATGTCGAATTAAAATACAAATACAATGTTCTACAGTTATTTTCTTTGGATGGGGTCGCCCATCTAGCTGGCATCCTGGATAAACTAGCGACCCATTTTGATCAACCAAGCATGCATACATCATTCTTTGCTTCAGTAAAAGGACTGCAGCTTACTCAAATCATATTACCATGTTTAAGACTATTGGACGAAATGCTAGCAAGGGTTGTAAGATGTCGTGGACCAAAATTTCGAGATCTAACTGCAGCTCCAGTGTTATTAAAATCTTATGGTATTGCAAAAGCATATCCAGTTGGATCTGTTGGTTCCAGAACTGCGGCGAAGGCGGCTGAAGCTGCAGTAAGAGCTTTGTTAGCGTATGCCCAACCGATAGCAGATGACGCCAATGATGGTGATTCCATACGACGAGGGCCTTGGACGTCTCTTTGCTCTGAAGTGATTTCTTATACTATGACTGCTCCGTATACATTCGTCCCTGGTCTGCTAGTCTTTTCGGAACTACTACCATTACCTTTGCCGATGCAAACAAAAACTCCGCCAACGGAAAGAGAATTGGCAGATGCATCAAACGAAAGGCGACTATGGTCTGCTCACCTCCACGCTTTGACCAACGATCTAACAGATATGATCCAAGTGATTTGTATGTCAACGTATAGACCCGTTGTGCATATGCTTCGAAGAGTATGTGTACAGATTGCTGATTTGGCGCCTAACACGGCAGCTACGGTGGCAAAAGCCGCTGTTGGAGCTGTTACTAGAGAATTGAAGCTAGGAGAGCCAGCTACTGCAAGCTCAGCAAGAGTTTTGGGATTCTTGGCATGTTTAGTGTCACATGCTCCTGTCAAATGCGCAGTTCTTCATGCAATGAGCGCCGGGGGACCTAGATCTGCTGATGTTCAAACAGCTTTGTGTGGTGTTTTAACTTTAAATAATGCTTCTTCAGAACACGCAGCGGCGCAAGAATTTGCTGCACACGCTTTAGCTGCGTTATGTGATGCTGAAGTTACTTTGACTCCATTGACCGCTTCCAGTGACTTGATTCTCGCAAATTCATTGCCAAATAAAGATACATTAACTCTGCTTCTGGACGCCACAACAGATTGTCTCGAGTCTGTGACAAAAACTTGTGCAGTTGCGTCATCGATACTTCGAGCGTATTTTGTTTTGACAGAACATGAATACGGATTTCAGATATTTAGGAAATTTGTCACAAAAAGAAAAGAATCTTTAGCGAAGTTCTTCAGGTGGGCTTTGGACGGTCCAGGGGAGGATAAAGCTGAATGTTTGAGTTTGTACATAGATCTCATTAGAATCTTAAAGATGGAAGAAGGTGAAGGACTTGTTGGAAGAAAATCCACTTTATCTATCAACGAGATGGCTGATATGGTGGGTTACTCGTTCGATACTGACCACCCGGTTTTGACTTTGGATAAGAGTTTAAAGGTATGTTCTCAATATTCGTTATAAGTATTCTTATTAAAAAAAAACATTACATTTAGATCATTAGAGATCAGCGTCTATCACTACTAGCACAGTATACATTAAATAAAAATCAAGTAGATAAATGACATTAATTTTTGTGAGATTTAGGTTCATCTCTATTACTCACTACATCGCAAAATTGTTTTATATTCCAGGATCGAAACGCAGACGAAGATGCAGTGGCCAACGCAACATTCCTCGTTACTCACCTCCAAAAACTCAAGGCTCCGAAGCTCGATGATCCTCAAACACCTCCAATGGATGCTACAGAGGCACCAGTGCTGACTCCTGAGACCCTGGTCGCTCAGTTCGCCGCGCGGACCGTGTATGCGATAGGGGAGGCCAACGACGAGAGGCTCACGTCCAGTTACTGGCTCAATGTGCCCAGTGCGAGTGGAGAAGATGACGTTAATGATAGCGAATTGGTGAGCTAGTTTTTGGTAATTTTTGAGTTAATACGTGAGGCGCACTTATAAGTTTCCGGAATGAATAAAAAGAATAGTATAAATGGTCAGAAATGAATTTATTGTTTCTCAAAATATTCTCCGTTAACGTTAATGCACTTTTTCATACAAATGAACCAATTTTAAAAACATTTATGCCACTCCGTGACAATCTTTGAAACATATTTTTCATACTCTTCGACAGCCTCTTCAGGTGATGAAAATCGTTGACCGCGTAACTGTTTCTTAATGTTTGGAAATAAATAAAAGTCACAAGGTGCCAGGTCGGGACTGTCAGGTCAACGTTGTTCACCTTCAAAAATTCATTTGTCTGTCTGGTCGTGTGAGAACGGGCAGTATCGTGGTGCAAGATGATACGGCTATTTTTACACAGTTTGTCAATAACTTCCGGCAAACAAATGGTCATGTACCAATCACTATTCACGGTACAACGATTCTCCAAAGCAACAGTAGCCACGTGTCCAGTTTTATTAAAAAATAAAGCAATCATCCGCTTAGAGGCACTTCACACGCGCGCCACTTTGGTTGGTTTCCACTCATCTCGAAAGACCTATACGCTCGATTGCTGCTTTATTTTGAGATCGTAACTATAAATCCATGTTTCGTCACCTGTTATTGTATCCGACACCTAATTTGACCCCCCTTCGTTGAATCTGGTGAGCATGGCATTGCACCAAGTGACGTGATCTGTTTTTTAAGCCTCAGTCAAATTGTGTGTGATCCACCGAGAGCACAGCTTTTTCACACCCAAATGTTTGTGTAGTATTGATTGTATGACTGATGCCTATGCCTAAAGATGCCCGAATCTCGTGGTATGTCACATGCCTATCTCTTTTGTTCATACGGCGCACAGCATCGCTGTTTTTGTTGTTCACAGCAGTGGACGGGGCGACTATCACGAAATTCATGAGGTTCACACGACCGCGTTTGAATTCTGCAAATCAGATATAAATAGTCGCCTTGCATGGTGCTTCATCGCCAAAAGCAGTTTGAAGCTGAGCGAAGCTCCGCTGAGCTATTAAATTTTACTTGAAGTCGTAGAAAATCATACTACGAAAATTTTCACGAGTTCAATCCATGGTGATGTACACAACCAATTTCTAAAATGATGCCACAATGTAAAAACAAATGACAGTCAGATGAAACCAATTGTATTCTATAGCCAAAGAGTTCCATTTTGAAATGTTATAACAACTTTTAAATATTGTTTATGTAAGTGGCCAGTTTCTGAAAGTTATAGTGCGCCCTATGTACTTGTTTTTATTGAGGGACTATGTCAGTTTTTGGTGAAAGATGAAGTTGTGTTCAGTAGATACTTCTTTTTAAGTATCTGTGTACATACACATATTTCACGCTCTTTTCCCACCGGTTTAGGCAGAGATGACTGCCTTTCACTTGCTACAGCCCCGTTACGCATTTTTCTCCTCATCAACACGCATCGACGCCTGCGCAATCGGTTCTTAGCAACATGTTCTCACTTAGCACTCACACTCGCCTGATAATTATTTTTTGTTAAATGTTTTAAGTTATGTTTGCTGTTTTCATTTCACGCCTCTACATGCCCGTCCCCCCTAGGCGTCCTTTTTTGTACCTTCGTCATTACATTTTCTTTCACGATAATTTTTCACGCTGCTATCCAGTGTATATTTTGTCATAGAGTTGCGCACTTGTAAGGGGTTTTCCAATAAGGATGTAAGAATTTTGTATTTCAATAAAACACAGAATAATTGAGGTATCGAGCTATAATTTATTCCAGGTGCAGGACACATGTTATATTTACGAATGGAATTCAATCTCTTTCGTGTGACAACCGCGAGTACACACAGTCGGCCAAATAATCGATCTACTGAAGAGGAAGTTCGAGAATCGTGTGACCTCGCGAAACGGTCCGGTCAAAAAGGGACGCCATTCGTGCGATTTAACGCCGTTGGGTGACTTTTTACGGGGGTACGTTGAGTCGTCGGTTTGTCCCAACAAGCCAACAATGTTAAATGAGCTCAGGAGGAATATCACACGCGAAATTGCCAACGTTTCGGCGGATACGTGAGGAAGAGTGGTGAAAAATTGATTGCGCTGCAAACGTGCTCGCGGTGGTCATATGAACGTGATCGAGTTCCATTCTTAAATGTGACATGTGCACTGCACATAAATTTCAGCTCGAGACTTCAATGATTAGAACATTGTTACGTCCTCGTTGAAAGCAGCTTAAAGCGTGACTCGTGTTCGGCTGATCGAAGCGCCCGTCGCAGGTGCCGTGCGACATCATGGAGGTGGCGAACCTGTTCCTGTGCGGCGGCGGCGAGGCGCTGTGCGGCGCCGTGCGGCGGCTGGCCGGCTGCCGCGACGCGCGGCTCGACGCGCTGCCCTGCGCGCCGGGCGACGACAAGCGGCCCACCGGTTCGGTCCTTGTACTCAACGTATCCTCCTACGTCGCCGTCTGCCCTATGCCGGCCGACTATTTGTTTTACTGAAAGCGACGCCTATCGCTAACGTGAAGGAAGACATTGTGATGAACGTCGGGGAAAGGCCAGCCCTGCGGCCTAAACCTCCCAGAGGGGCTAACAGTCGCGCTGTGCAGTGGCGCTGAGCCGCGTGCGTCTGCTGGGCGAGGGCGCGTCGGGCGGCGCCGACGCCTTCCGCTCCCGCCCGCCCAACACGTCGCGGCCGCCGTCGCTGCACGTGGACGACTTCACGGCGCTGCACCAGCCCTACGCCGCGCCCCCCGCCAGGTGGGTCCCGCCGCTTCTCGCTGTTCTACGGACGGCGAGCGATCGCCGACCCCTACAGACCTCGCAATTTCGGCCCAATGATAAAACTAAAAGTATGTGAAGTCGAGGCATATCTCACGGACGTCGTTGATACCACATTTTCATTGTTGTTATAAGTATTGCTTATCGTTTTAATGCCGTAACTTATTATAAATTTTACTTATCCCCTTTAATTTTTTCCTACTGCACACGCCGCGTGTCACCTTTCAGCCATTTTGCTGTAAAAGTCAAATAATCTTTGTTTCATAAGTAAGCAATTACACTTGGAATCGTCATACCAATTAAACTCAGTAGAGCTCATTCGTAAAACAGATGCGCCCGAGAAGAACGAACTAGAAACTCTAGGGGTTACTCTTTGTGAATATACATTTGAACACATTTATGACTATAAAGTTTTTGTTCCACCATAGTTTTAAGCCTCGTGAATGGCAAATTTTGAATATCAATCGGAATCTTATTATAGAAGCGCATATATTGCCCCTTAAATAAAAATTAGCATTTTTCTTACATAAATAACATTTTCATAAATGTACTGTGACGTTAGAATTAGAATATTAATCTCTCTAAATTTATCTCTCAAAGACACTCTGGGGCCCAGATTGTAAATTGCCCTAACTGCACGTTTCTGCAGGACAAATATACTATTAATATCAGTGGCATTGCCCCAAAGCAAAACGCCGTATGTCATTAAACTGTGAAAATAGCTGAAGTAAACCATAGATTGGTTTCGACGTCTGAAAGTTTTCGTATTTTTTAATCGCGTACACTGCAGAGCTGAGCCGTTTTACATCTATCAAACACTTAGTCGGAGTACACTTGTGTTGAGTCGAGTTTCGGAAATATTTAGGTTCCAATTTTGGTGATAATACCATTAGTAGGCGTGGCGAGTCGGATCGCGCTTTGCGGGAATCTTGGAGAGTACCGTTCCCGCAAATAACATACGGTGGTAGGCAGGGGCGGACGACCCGAGTGTGGCTAACCGAACCTAACGTGTCCCTCGCAATCGCAGAGGCGCGCGGCGCGGCGCAGGCGCCGAGCGCGGCCGCTTCCCCGCCGCGCCGCTGCACGGCCACTACCGGCAGATGTAAGTATCCCCACGGACCATTCCCGCACCGCAACTAATGTATCAAGATTATTGTAAAACTGGAGTCAATTCCTAGTACAACACTACGAGATTAATTATAATGTCATCAGATTTGATCAAACGAATAATAGCATTATTTTTCCTTGAGCCTTATCTTTGTTGACGTTTTCTTCGTGAAATGTTTGCAGGCGCGGTCGCGGCGCGTGGGAGGGTGCCCAGCACTTCGCACATTTCCCTCCCGCTTCGCATTACCTTATGGGTCAGTTGAAAATCACTTCCTTTTCCTCTCTTTATTAACTATAATACACATATATTTAGTATGATTAGTATGATATATATATATCATACTAATCATATTTATTTATATATATATATATATATATATATATATATATATATAGTTTTGCGTAATAATGAATATAATAGAAAATGAAACTATTTTTCCGAATTTAAATCGTGTATATTTGTTTTTTTCAAACAGACCGACGTTTCGGGCTCTTTACAGTCAAGCGTGACCATGGGACCTGTAAAGGCCCGAAACGTCGGTTTCTTTGAAAAAACAAATATACGCGATTTCAATCTGGAAAAATAGTTTCATTTCCTACGTGTAACAATCGCGAAAGTCTAAGAACTCTATAAATGAATGTAATGTTCTTTTGTGTCGAAATATGGCCTGACCATTTATTATACAAAAATCTTAAAATTAATGCAATGAATCCATGCAGGTTGAATAAATTATTTAATGGTTACCTCAACAACAAATCGTGGCAAGAGAAACAGAAGATTAGATGGCAAATAACTACTAAAACAAACGAAACTAAAAGAAATTATCATGGTGGTACATTTGTGACTAAAATTTGACCTCGTACATTGTGTATTAAGGGCGTAAATAAAAAATTACCAAAGAGAACTTGTTAGATACCCAAAGCCGAAGGTTGAGGGCTTTAAGAACTTGAGTGTTTTTTTTTCAAAACAGATTGCTAGTTATTTTTCCATACAACTCGAACTAAAATGTCATGAAAAGCACAGACGCATGCAGCCACAATGTATTGAATTAAAATGAATAATTTCCAAATTCCAAAATACTGTACAATTTGAGTTCACAAAGTAAATTTAGTAAAATAAATTGCAAATGCTTAGTTTTTATATACTTCAACTTTATGCGAAATATAAATTTTTCGAGAACTTTTTTCTCAATCGTGACGTAAAAAATCCATTGGGCGATAACGTAATGATAAAGCCCGCGGGCATAATTTCGGACATTACGGTCGACTTTGCCTGCATGACACTATTTACGAGCACGCGTGATGAATATAATCTCAGCACAAGGTACTAAAAAACCGACCTCAAAAATTCGTGGAATTACATCTATTTGCCAAGTTTTATTGAAATCGGTTTTCGGAAAGTGCGCGAAACTGGATTCATCCCCTAGTTTGCCACCCTTAGGGGCGGAATATTTTCTTCAAGTTTAAATGGGACCAATACTGAGGCGGGTGCCTCTTGCCAACAAAAAAGTATCATCTTAATCAATTCACAAATGCCATGAGTTATCGCGTAACATACATCCAAAAAAAATACAGGAATTGAGAACCTCCTCCTTTTTAACCGACTTCAAAAAAAAGGAGGAGGTTCTCAATTCGTCTGTATGTTTTTTTTGTATGTATGATGCGCGATAACTCCGCCATTTGTGAACCGATTTTGATGATTTTTGTTGGAAAGAGGGTACCTCAGAAGTGGTCCCATTTAAATTTGAAGAAAATATTCCACCTCTAAGGGTGGTAAACTAGGGCATGACTTTTGAGGTCGGTTTTTTTAACCGGAGGTTAGGTTATTTGAAGTCGGTTCAAATGAAGGCTATTCCGGGATGAAGGCTGGCGAACACCCGCGAGAGGGTGCAGAGCGCCAATAAGGGTTGCTGGTCGTTGCAGGTGCCATGGGCTGGGGCGGCGCGCGCATGCAGCGCGGCCCGAGGCACCGCACTTTCCTGCGGTAGGCCGCCAGCAGCTGTCCTGCGGCCGCGGCGCCGACGGAACATAATATTCTATCTGTGCGAGCTATCGAAATAAATGTGTTTCATAAGTATTTAACCTTGTTTGTGGAATTCCCTGGTATTCATCGGCTTTGTTGTCAAATGGAAGCGTCAAAATCTGCAGAAAAGTGACCTGCTTGTCGACATACGTTTACCTGCATACGTTTCGTGGAGCGCTTTGCTTCCTCGTGATACCGCCCTGCTATCAAACCAAGTGGCGCTTATCGCGTGATGAGCTTTAATATTCCAACTGCAGGCCGAAAACTCTCGTGTCACAATTTTGTATATTTGTGGAGCCAAACTTAGTACAGACTTCTTTGACTTTTATACTTGGAAAAAACAAATGGCTAACTTAAAAGATAATAATACAAAAAAATTATAACCACAATTTTAACACGAATTTATCCAAAATTACACTGAAAATTAAGAAAACAAAATTTATTGTTTATTCCTTCAGTATTCCTTTTTGTTTGTGACAATAACATCGCACCACTCATGTAAGAAAGGCATAACTGAAGTTACGTTAAAAATGTTTGTTGCTCCATTAGATCATACTCTATAAACATTTAAAATAAACATTTTTGACGAAACTTCATTTATGCCATTCTTCCATGAGGGGTGCGATATATATAGTCCACTACATTACAATACATATTATGTAACTTAACCAACAACCTATTTACCTAAAGCTACAATATAGGCCCGTTAGGCATTTTTTAGACAAATGCGTATCACCGTTGGCCACATCGTTGCTTATCATCAGGTGACATTGTGAACAGGCGTCCATATTCAATATAAAAAAATAATCCTTCCTAAATAAGCTTGGTGTACTAGATGCGTACCTGGCAAGCCGTCAGCCGTACCCACTATATATTCGTACGTATTTGAGTATCGCCCGTTGTACTTACACGGAAAAAGGAGAAAGAAAACGACCTCAGAAAATTTAGAAACAAATCAACTTTATTATCAAGATGAATAAGATCAAATCATAATATAAGCTTACGAAACAGATATGCAACCGCGAAGATCACAGTGTCTCAACTTAAACTTTTACACCTTACGGCAAACTATACAACGCGATGCGACAATGCGACGATACATACATCGATATATCATACAATATATATATATCAAATAAAACTATCGGTTAACTAAACGAATAACGATGTAAAATTTACAAGTTAATATTAATACTCCACCGAGAATTTCCCATTGATTGTCTTTATCATTACACGGTAAAACATCTCACTAGCGTTATATTTACAAGGCCGGGGGCCGCAGTCTGTTCGGTACAAAACTATCACTCGCGACATGGCACGGGGGGGCCTCGAGGCCCCAGGCCGGGGGCCTCAGGCCGCAGGGCGGGCGCACTAGTCGCCAGGGTGCTCCGGACACGATCGGTTCACCTCGAACCATTGGTCTATACATCTGAAATTTAAAGAAACGGTAGCATTAATATAACATGTTCACAGCAAACAATACAGCGTCCAACAAAGTCCTTGCCACATTGCGTAGTAGTCTTAGTTTTATACATACATACACACCACCACGCCTGTTTCCCACTAGGGTAGGCAGAGACTATGGGTCTCAATCTGCCACACTCGTGACGTACCCCTTTCGTTCGTTTAATCTTGGCACTTTAGACCTGATTATGTCTGGTTCAAATATCTTCCCCTCATTATTGTACTAACATCTATCCTTTCGTTATCATCAATCTGTTGAAGCATTGCTTTTCTAGTCACTATATTATTCATATTATTTACAGTTACAACTGACATTAAACGCTATTCTAGAAAAATCTCCAATGCGATTAACCAGAAAACACAAATGTCGATTTCTCACCATCCACATGAATGACACCCAAGCCAATTTGTATACTTTTGTATACTATTGAATCTCCCTAGGAACACTGACCACTCTAAGGTATCCTACGATCTAGGCCAGCGCGATTTCAAGCCATCGACCCAGTTGCATAGCTTATCAGCTGTGAGGCAGGTTACGGGCTGACTTGTGACAGCGCCCTTAGCGCATGCACTTGACGCTCTTGACTGAGCTTGTGTGCACAGTTGCGATAAGACTATGTTGGGGAACTTTCAAGGCGTTATTTGTTACAACTGAGGCGAGCAAAAAAATTGCGTGAACTCGTAAAGGATCGTACTAAGTGAAAATGTAAGCGCACATACCGCACCCCTAATAATAGAGTGGTGAAATTCGAACGGCAATTATTGACAAACTGGCAAAAAACTACGTTAACGTGGCATTGCCAGCCATTTGGCCATATGTGACAAAATTCTATTTGATATGAAAAACTATATATTTCTTAATAGTGTTTCACCAGTTACCCAAAGAATTTACTTTCCCAATTCTCACTTTATTAATAAGGGTGCGTTATAGCGTTTGCACTATTTGTTTGTATGCAACAGTATATACTGACCCCTTGTGGTAGATGCAGAGGCAAGGCAGGCGCGCGATGGTGTCGCCCGCGCTCAGCTCCTCCAGGCAGATCACGCACTCGCCCTTCGAATCCGACAACACGTCCTCTGCAATTGCACAAGCGACAACGTTAGCGGGGCTGTATTGATTAACTGTTAACAGTATGCGGAGGTTATTTTTGCTTTGCCAATTACTTCATGTAATAGACAAAGCACCGAAGTACTTTAAAAAGTCTAACGAATAATATAGGAAATGCGTACAACAAAACATGAACTACTCTGCCGCTGCTGGCTAGGTTTTCCAAAAGCTACAATTCGGAGTTATTCAAGGATGAATAAGCATTAGCTAATGAGATCTCTTGTTCACCTATTTTACGTTTAAAAAAAAACGTGGGGAAAAAACCTCGCACGGTAAAAGAAATATATCACTAAGAATAGGCTGGAAGGGTTATTGATGCAAATTTCAAAAATTCAAATTCAAATACTTACCATTGTAGGATAGCCTGGGCCTGGTGAGACACATGACGAGGTGGCACTCGATATCGTCCGGCAGCACGAACTTGCTGCATACTGGACATTTTATACCTGGAACAACAATTACAATACAAATTATTAACAGGTTTATTATTATAAATACGAACTCTTCGCTCAGTTATAAATATTTAAAAGTTGTTTACAACATTTCAAAATGGAACTCTTTGGCTATAGAATACAATTTGTTTCATCTGACTGTCATTTGTTTTTACATTGTGGCATCATTTTAGAAATTGGTTGTGTACATCACCATGGATTGAACTCGTGAAAATTTTCGTAGTATGATTTTCTACGACTTCAAGTATAATTTAACAGCTCAGCGGAGCTTCGCTCAGCTTCAAACCGCTTTTGGCGATGAAGCACCATGCAAGGCGACTATTTATAGCTGGTTTGCAGAATTCAAACGCGGTCGTGTGAATCTCAGTGACGAATTTCGTGATGGTCGCCCCGTCCACTGCTGTGAACAACAAAAACATCGATGTTGTGCGCCGTATGATCAAAACAGACAGACATGTGACATACCATGAGATTCGGGCATTTTTAGGCATAGGCATCAGTCAAATACAATCAATACTACACAAACATTCGGGTATGAAAAAGCTGTGCTCTCGGTGGATCCCACACAATGTGACTGAGGCTCAAAAAACGGATCGCGTCACTTGGTGCAATGCCATGCTCACCAGATTCAACGAATGGGCGTCAAATTAGGTGTGGGATATAGTAACAAGTGACGAAACATGGATTTGTAGTTACGATCCCAAAACAAAGCAACAATCGAGCGTATGGGTCACGTGGCTACTGTTGATTTGGACAATCGTTGTACCGTGAATAGTGATTGGTACACGACCATTTGTTTGCCGGAAGTTAATAATAATAATAATAATAATAAATAACGCACACACTCAACATAGCCCCGCACTAGGGAAACCCTGTGTCGCGGGTGCCATGGACACACACACAGACAACCACAAATTACACCCAAACTCACGAGAGAAATAATTGTAGGCCATACAACTATTTTTCCCGGCCCGGGAATCGAACCTGGGACCTCTGCGTGGCAGTCCGGCATGGTAACCGTTCGGCCACGGAGGCAGTTATATATATTATAAGTTATTGACAAACTCCGTAAAAATAACCGTTAACGCCGTATCTTGCACCACGATAATACCAGTTCTCATACGGCCAGACAGACAAATGAATTTTTTAAGGTGTATAACGTTGACCTTACGAGCCATCCCGTGTACAGTCCCGACCTGGCACCTTGTAACTTTTATTTATTTCCATAAATTAAGCACCAGTTACGCGGTCAACGATTTTCATCACCTGAAGAGGCTGTCGAAGAGTGTGAAAAATATGTTTTAGAGATTGTCGCGGAGGAGTGGCATAAATGTTTTCAAAATTGGTTCATTCGTATGAAAAAGTGCATTAACGCTAACTTGTTCATTCCGGAAACTTACAGTGCGTAATTATTATTATTATTAATAACACGTATTTAATAAATGCGACACAATAAAAACAGCGAATTGCTGGAGGGACAAGGAAAAAGGCGGCGGGTACACACATTTTTCGAACCAATCCTATACGACTATTGTTAATTGGCCAACAAAGTTGAATATTTAATAAATTGAAGATAAATTATTGTTCCTATTCAGCTACCCTGATATAACTAATGTTTCATCTTCCAACAAGAAATGGAAATAGAAGGCAGTGTGTGATCTCACGTTGATGCTTATTGTAATTATGTCCACGTAGTACTAAAAACACGTATACTTTTCGCTAATGGTAAAGGAAAACATCGTAATGTATCCTGCAAGTCGAAGAAGGCTCCCAACTCTTGAAAAACGTGTGAAATTGCGAACCCGTGTAAGGAGACCAATAGGCGGTAAGTGTGATTTGTTTCTCAGAATTAATTGTCCATATGTACGTACCGTTACCGTCAGTCTACAGACTGAACCCGGCGATACAGCCCGGGGCGGGTTGATGTCGGCGGCCTTATTTCTAATCTAATCTTATGACATGATTCTAAAAACAAGGCCACCGACACCATCCCGCCCGGGTAGGCCGGGTTTGATCTGTACACCCCTTCAGGTGTTTTTCTTTAAAATAAACGTTATTGTCCTATTTAATTAAAAAATATCGATTTATCTTAAGAAACCACACAGTTTTCGACAAATAATCCATTTAATTTGACGATAGGTAATAATAGTAAAAAAGCTAGGCAGTATTCGAAAAATGCGCCTTATGTTATGACAATCGACGCGTTATGAGAAACGACGTCATGAATATCAATTTTATGACAAGCAATAGGTCCCTCACAAAATATTAACTTTGAGTTTGTCCATCAGAGCTGAACAATTCATGACACTACACAGTCCCGTCACGTACCTTATGCCTTCACAGCACCTTTTAAAAACCTCTGTTTGCACACGCATGTCATTGTCAAACGAGCCTTATATTGCATGGTAATAAGGTTTCTTGTTAACTTGTTAATGTGTTAGTGACCTTCACTGTCTGTCCCTGGTAAGTGATTTATTGTTTATTTGTCAATTGAATTACCATAACGTTATTAATATAATTTTTATTCCATTGGGCCAGAACATACCGATTGCAAAGTAAAGAAAGTAAAAGGAACACAATGTGTGAAGTCTGAATGATAGATGATATAGAATATATTATAGGCAAGCTGAAAATGAAGCGTGCTACGCATAGAAAAGGTTCTAAGTACATTTTGTTAGGAACCAGGTCAGTAGACTGTCAATTCTATATCCTAACTGTCCGTAGGTATCGTGTATTAGGTAGCAGAACGCTGTGTACTTGTTGGTGCTATGTAAACACCATAGGTTGAGATTCTCAGGACATTAAAAGAACTAAGTGTATTAAATTAAAACACTTGTTATAGGACCTTGGAGACCGTCTCTAAATGTTATGTACATATTTTCGTATACGTACATTAACGTAATTGAACCTCTGGTGGTTTTACCACGCACTTAAATTCTTGTAAACTGAAACTACTGAATAAGTTACCAGTCAAATTATACACAAGTAACGAGCGCATTTATGACAGAAAACTAGAAATTACCCTTTTAATAACCATAGTTGCCATGCAATTTTCCTTCCTACAAAAAACAGCTTGACAACTATGTAAATGGCTTGAACTGCAGTAGCGCACGCGCACGCACAAGGCAACCAATAACCCGTGCAAAACATGTTCGCCCGCTAACACGCAAATGAACTGTCTACTAACGATTAGTTTGTTTCACTTCACATAGTTAAGTACCGTCAATTGTACACCCCACATCGCCCATTTATTGCCGTAATATGCTGGTCTCCTAATCCCGAAGATCGGCAGCATTTTTCTATGTTTTGGAAGAATACACTAGAATAAAATTTTACCAGTTTTTTGAGTTTCCCTAACCACGTCCAAGTAAAACAAGTGACCAAGGGAAAGCAATAATGGTCTTGTACTGGAAATAATAATTGCCCATGATTTGGTCGAAGTCACATTTCCGTGACATTGTCACCGAAAGGTTTTTGTCCTAGAGTTTTTGTTATGATTGTTGAATTTTTCGTCTCTTTTTTTTTATGAACATAAATTTTAAGACCTTTTTATTCATAACTTTCACACATACAACACTAAATAGATTACTAAATAGAATATTTTTAATTTTGTTGTTGATTCACCGTATCGTACTGCCCCAAAGGTGATAGCTGAAAACCAGTGCTTTGCTTTTTTGCAAAAATGGCTTGCTGCAGCATACACAAGTTAGGTACTGTTATCTCAATAGCTAGGTATAAAATGTTTGCTATGTTCATTCATATTTATTTAAAGTATTGTTTTTCTTTAAGTTTCTTGTTTTCACTGTCAATTTAAATGTCCGTTTTGAGTCTGTTTTTGTCTTATAATAATTTTTTATAAATAAAGTTTTGTAATAATTTCATATGCTTGTGGGAAGACTTACACGTTGCTCAAACAGCCGCAACCAGAGGCACCAGCAGTCAATTTATATTTTACCCACTACGCCTTGCAACTTTATCATATACAATGTAGGTACGTTCTATTTTACCCGATATTTAAGGTTGGATAATATTATGTAGAGCGAGGAGCTATAATATGAAAGAAGGCCGCTTCTCTTCAAAAGCATCTAGATAACCCTCGTGAGCTGATTCTATAGTCCTTTGCAACGACATCCGCTAAAAACGGTCATAATATATAGGTGTGTAATTTAAAGAATTACTCACAAATTGTGAATCATGTTTTCCGAAATAATGCATATAATATTATTAAGTCCTAGTACATATTTCCTGCATAACAAAGTTACGAAGCGGTATACGAACATCGAAAGGAAGGAAAACTTACATTAGTACGATGATACTGTATGATTATGCAAATTGATGCTAACGCACATGTGTTGCAAAAGATCCCGTATTTACATGTAACGTCAATTTATGTCAATGTCCTAGCGGAGTTTGGCTACTTAAATGTCATGCAGATGAATGATAAACCTTCAAGAGATGTAACAATCAATTTCTTAACTATATACCAACAAAATTAAAGCAAAGTTTCATAGAAGATATCCTTAAGCATTTTATATATATATACTCACATATACATATATACTCTTCAGTCACTTGATGTTATTATATATAACATCAAGTGGCGGGAAGAACAAGTCGTGCGCCTGATGGTAAGTTACACGCCTGTCCATAACAGATACTGTGCCATTCGGAGCTTTGAATTGCAAAGATCTGAGGGGCACTGCCACTGCGCCCGTCACCCTGAGACATAAGTTGACAAGTCCCAAGTACCTGTAATTTCTCCGGCACCCTTACCCAACACAAACCGGAACACAATAATGCTTGGTGCCAAAAATAGGTAAATTTCTAAAAGGCACGCTGGAATAATTTACTTATCTTCCAGACACAGCCTGTCAGCCGAAAAAGCAAGTCATCTGTTTAAAAGTATAAGTTTGATAAAATTTCAAAACGATTAAGCTTCATTATTTTGTTAATAAATGTCACAAAATCTTTGAAATAATATTATTTTACAATAG